TTAGCTAAGGTATTGAATTTTATTATAAATATTCTCAGTAAATTTGTACTGTTTCATTTATATATTAATAGATAAATTAAAATCTCCACCTATTTAGGCATCTATTTTTCATTCACTTAATCATCGCTAACCATTTATGAATTCATATGCTTAAAGTGTTAGGATTGCATTACTACTACCTATTAAAATTTGGCTATATACTTTATATTAATTTTTTATACCCTCTTAGTTAAGCCAATTAAGTTACAAACAGTACTATCCCTTGGTAAGAAAAAATTCACTCATATTTTCTAGAAAACCTTAGAGCAACGGAGTGCATTAATATTATATGGCTTAATCATTTAGTCTATTCTAATAAGAACAAAATTTAAAGTCTTAAACGTTTTGACAAAAAATAGTGAATAGCGCTAAAATTCAACAACTTCTAATGATTAACCTTGTATAATTCTTTGAATAATGTCTTTAAATTGCGTTTTAAATTCCGTACATTTATGTAATTCATATTTAAGGGTTTTCATAATACTATCGAATTTATCCTCTTAGTATATTCCTCGAGTACCTAGAAAGTTTTTGTTAGTAACTCTAAACTAAGTTGAATTCTTGATATATTCTCACATTTGTCTAGTTCAATGTGTTATATATATATATATATATATATATAAGTTGTTGAAGACAGTATCATTGTCATAGCATAAGTATTAAATCATTCTATTGGCAATGCGTATTGAACAAAGGATTGATTATTTTATAATGTTTCTGTAAAGCAATTAAGTGATATACAATGTTTTACTGTGGAACTATTGACACAAGAATTTCATGTATTAAATAATATTAATAATTTTTTTCTGAGACTTTTAACTTCTGGTTATCCTTCTCATTACTTAGGTATCTGTGTCCCCTTGCTGTTGTCTAAGCAGTATTGAGCATTCTCATTCCAAGGCTATTCTTGATATCCAATGGGTACCTGACCACTTTGAGGTTAATCGACTTGGCTATGCAATAGAGAACCAGACACAGAAATGCGTTCAATTAATGACTTGTGCTATTGATCATGAGATTCTCTTCTGGGATAGTCGGCTTGAAAAGACGCCACTCGCAATTGATAAAACGCGTGATATGCTTACCTTGCCTCACGGAGTACCAGCAACTTTTTCAGGACTTGACATGAAGTGGAAGCCCTTTCTTCGGGCACATATATTCAACGACTCAGGAGGTGATCATTCTCCAACCAGATTTTGCATCAAGGTGAGGGACTTGCTATAAGTCTTTGTTATACTATCTTTGATTTAAATTGAAAACATGAAAGAATAATATATGAATACTCATCGTTAGCTCAGATGAAAAGCCTAAGTCTAAATACGGACGCTATGCAATACGAGTTAGGCGCCTATCCCTTTCAACCCAATTTCAAATCCTCTCCAATCTCGTACTCCCTTTGGTAAATATTTCCACTTTAAGCAGCTAGAGAATGGTCATCATATACCTTTGATATTCACAATCTATATTACATGTTAGCTAAAATTTTACTCTGTTAAGTCGCACTACGGCTAGAGCCTCATAGTCGGCATTTTATCTATTATTTCTTCCCTGCATATTCTTCCCATTAACAAGACCTGTACTAGTATGGCCAATCAAATTCATCTCGTCTGGTTACCCTTAGGCAATCTTCCAAACTAATAACAACACCTGTTTGCTAAGCTATTCCATTACCTAACTTGCCTGTGTTTGGGTCATGCAGCGTTGGCTCATCTTCTGGTATGTAACTGCACGCATTTATTTTTCTGTACAATGCTAAGGAGTAAGTTAAGAGGTTAGTTATCTAACCGGATTCCTGAATATCTAAGTTTCATCATCTTATTCGGTGATGTGTATTGTTTGATATTCATAAATTCATTTAGCAGCAAAAAGTTATTACCCTACTTCCAACATTCCTTTCAATTCCAAGGAGTAGTCATCTTGTTGAGATGATTTTCAG